TCCACCGGGAAAAACCCCAACGTACCGGCAGCAAGCCGAGGGGATATTAGAATACCCACCCCAGTCACGACTTCTCCCTCCTTCACAGGAACAACAGGACTTTCCAGGATGACAGCTCCAGCTTAAACATAAGCACACATTACTGAGAGTCAGCTGTTATGACAAAATGTTGTCAATTTGTTTAATGTGTTCATCATTAAAGCAAATGTCTTATCAGTTAATCACAAGACAGCAACTCAGTGTATAAAGGCACTGGATACTGGCCAAGTTTACCTGAAGCTCAAACTGAGCATCAGAATAGGGAAAAATGTGATTTAAGTTAGCTTGACTATGCTTTGGGTCATGACCAACACAACCATCTTTGGGGTCTACAGAGTCTGATCCAAAAAAGACTTGTTGATGCCACAGGTCAGAGGGGAAAGGCCAGACTCATTCAAGTGGTTAGGGAAACAAAAGTAACACAAATAATTACTTGTTTCAAATAAGCTATAGAAAAGACCATCTCTGAATACACACTGAGCCTTGAAGCAGATGGGCTACAGAAAGAGAAGTGACTCCTATCAGCTAAGACGAGGAAAAGTGAGGCCACAATTTACACAAGCTCACAAAAATTAGAACTGATCTGATGACTCTTAATTTCTGCTGTGATATAGAGGGATCCATCTTGACTTTTATCAGCAATTTAGCATGCTGCTCGCAGTATAATAGTGTGTGGAATAATTTCTTGGCACACTTTTTGTATTGGTGATGACTATCCCTTTATTTGTATGATGAATCCATCTAACAGGACAACACACCATGTCACAAAGCATTTTAGACTGGTTTTGTTAAGAAAACTTCAGCAGAGCACCTTTGGGATGTTGCAGAATGGAAATTTCACATTCACATCAAACAAATCCACTTTACCTTACAATAAGAAACGCCTTGGGACAATTGTAGTTATGACTTGGTGTTATAAATAACATTGAATTGAACTGAATTGACTATGGACCAAAGTCTCTGAGGAATATTTCCAGCACCTTGTTGAAATCTATCCCATTAGGAATTAAGGCAGCTCTGAAAGGCAGCAAAGTATACCTGTCCAGATAGAGCACCTTTTTTCTCCCGCTTGTTTTAGTTTTACTATAATTTCTCTATGCTTTAATTTACCTTCACATTTCAGCTTAGATTTATTGCAGCTAATTAACAAAAAAATATATATATTTTTTACATAAATGCATATTGCCAGCGACTGACGTTGACAGTGTTGCTCCTCTCGTTTCAATTCTCACACCAGTATTCCCCACTTTCTGTGAGATAAACAGGTTTGATGGCACAGACAGACGTATTTGTTGTCACCCAACTGGGTGACAACAAATACGTCTGTCTGTCTGTCTGACACATGCACTGACTTCTCCTTTTCGTCTCCTCTTTACAGTCCATCCAGTTTTGGGATTAAGACCCTCACAATTAACCCTTTAGAACCGGTAGGAGCGTACACGCTCCATTTTGCGTAACTATTTTTAAATCCCGGTAGCACTGCAACCACGTGAGCTAGCGCAATAATTTTTTTTGCATATGAAACCGGAGGAATTGTACTTATATCTTATGCCATCAGCTTGTCCTCGGTCACAATTTCCTTCCACATATAGCTTTGCAAAAACTGCATAAAAAGCACTTGTAGCAACAAAAACATAATATTCCAGAAACACGCTTTGCCGATCCGATCAGCTGTTTGTAACACTTCCTACGTCCATCAGCGCGAACTATCACATGACCGCATGACCTGCCCGGAACCGGAAGTGACGCCATTTTGCGGAAATGTAGTTTTTTTTTTACCATCGTGGCCTCATGAGCTTATACTTGTGTTTTTAAAAGTTATGTTTGACTTCATGACTTTCTGTGTCGTTTCTGGGATGCTTAGGACTCATATTGCACTGCTGGAAATTTTGATGCATATGCTGTTATTTTGCAAATTTGCACTATAATAT